GGGGGGGGGGGGGGGCGGGGGGTGGTGAGGAGTCACTGTCTGTTTGATTTAAAATTTGTATCATTTCCCTGCAATAACCTCTCTCTCTATCTCTCGATCTCTTAGTGTTTGTTGATTTTTGAGAGTTTTGATGTTTCTTGAAATTTTGTTGATTTGCACTAAAGTAATTTTTTGGGTTTTGATTTTGCAATTGCAGCTTAATGAAAGCCATTGATCCTCTCCTTGAAGGTGTCAAAAATTTTGTTGAAGTTACATGTGAAGTAGTGTTCAACAAACTGTATACATTACTATACTATATAGTAACATGAAGTTACATATGCATATATTTGTGTATTTTCGATTTGTATTTTATTGGTTTTGAGGTGATTTATAATAAAAATAGTGAAATTTGTAAATTTTTGTTGGGGTTTATGAATTTCTTTTGTATAAGTAAGTATTCGTGTGTGTATACAATTGATCGACTAAAAATATGGGGGAAAAAACGAACATAACTACGAATTACTATAGGTACTATAGTTACATGTAGTTATTATCAATACAGTAAACATATTGTTTTGAAAAAAAAAAAAGAAATTAATTTTTTTTTAAAATTAAAATATTATAAAAATATATATATAAATTTAACAAACTGGTTTATTATTTAATAATAATAATAATAATAATATTAATAAATAAATCAGTGAAAATGATAACTGCAGGACCAGAAATGCTGAATGCAGTTTGGCCGAAAATTGCATATAAGGGTACTATAGTACTTTTGGTTCTTTAAGGAGGTATGTCAAATGATGAGTTGAACTTGAGTTTGTCCCTAGTTTATTTGGTGGCTAGGAGGTATATAAAATAACCCAAAAAAAAATCAAAATGAAAACATGAAAAATATAAATATGAAAAAATAATTTAAAATAAAAAGCCGAACATAGAAATAAAACAAAATAAAAAAAAATTAACCAATTTTTTTTTAAATTGAAATAAAGAAAACTATTAAGAAAAAAGAAAAAATATTAACTGAAATGGCGTGATATTCGGTGATATTAAGGGGATTTGCATATTAAAAAAAATAATTAATTTTCCATAATAATATAATATGGTAACTTTCAGTAATATTAAACTGACTAATTATCGCGGAACTTTTACTGAAATTGGTTAATTTGCAACGGTAGCCTCATTTGTTAATTTTGTAACTTTCTAAAAAAGTTGAGACTCTCTCAACTAAAAATAGTCGAAAACTTAGAATCTGAAGGTCGTTCGACAAATTCAAAACCAATCAACAACTTCTTCGATTACTTTTACGAGCTAAAAATGAAGAAAAAAAATAAAAAAAATTTTGAAGGGTGTAAATAAAATTTGAAGGATGTAATCGTGCTGTACAGCTAAGGGAAGTATAATTTTATTTTTTAAGTAATCGTCTACTAGAGGACAGGACTATAGGCTCTTAGTTTTTTAGTTTTTTTCTTTTTTTCTTTTTTCTTTTTTTTTTTTTTTTTTTTTTTTTTACTTATCCTAAGAAATATAAAAAAAATTCTGAAGGGTGTAACGTGCTCTACAGAACGTGTAGTATAAAATATATAATAAATAAATTAAGTAACCGTTCCCTAGAGGACCGGAATCGGTTTTAGTTTTTTTTTTTTCTTTTTTGTTTTACTTTATTCCTTAATATTATTACTATACTAATTAATTTCTATAATTTGGTAGGAGGATTTGATAATAAATATGCAATCGAGTACAATAATTTTCCCAATTACGAAAATTTGAAGATCTTCAAGGAATCGTGTTCCGCAAAATGTGAGCTTCAAAAAATTTTGAACTCCCCGTTCGATAGAGGACGAAACCCCAACAATTTTAAAAAATAAAAATAAAAATAAAAATAAAATATTTTGAACTTCCCGTTCTCTAGGGCACGAACACGTGAAGTTCTTCAAGCAACCGTTCTGCAGAGCACGATTGCTTGAAGAATCTTCAAGATTTCGTGCCCTAGAGAACGGAAAATTCAAAATATTTTTTTTTTTCGAAATTCACCTAGATTTAATCCTAACCATGAGTTTTTTTTTTCCCATAATCGAGTCTCGTTTGCTACGGATTGAAAATCGAAATATTCTCCAAAATTTGAAGGTCTTAATAGAGTTTGAAAGTAGGAGAGAGAATTAAAAAAAAAATGAAAAAGATCCTGCTGTATTCAGTAAAAGTCTCGTCGCAAATAGCAACACCCAATATTAAATGAATGCATTTTAAATAATTCGAGTCAGTTAGGTTTATGACAAATATCAATAATACAAATTGATTTATCATTAAGTTAAAATTCAATGGACGATTTTGTAAATAGCCTATATATATATATATATATATATATATATATATATATATATATATATATATATATATATATTGCGATGATATCTTCCAAATTAGTCGGAAAGCCAAATCCCATACAACTTCTTTCTCTTTCTCCCAGAGTCATCAATACATGGGAGAGTTTACATATCTATGTATATATATATATATATATACATACGCACATTCACACACCGAGAGTCTGCAAAAAAAAAAAAAAAAACTCCAAAACCATGGCCGATACAACGCCTGATCTTCCACAGGAAATCATAGAACTTATCCTCTCAAAATTATCTCTCAAGTCTCTTCTTCAATTCAAAACAGTTTCCAAGTCATGGAATACTTTGATCTCCGATCCTATTTTCGTCAAAAATCATCACCAACAATCTAAGCAATCGAACTCGAACGATCTTTTTCTACATAAAAAGTCATGGAATTCTTCCGACGGGTTTTCTTTGGTTCGATTGGAAGACGAAAAACTCCGAACCCAACGAGTAATAGCACCCCCCCACGGATGGGAGCACGTCTTATGTTTTTGTGAAGGTTTGCTACTTATACAACAATACGGGTCCCGGAGATTAGCGTTGTGGAATCCATCAACCGGAGCAGAGAAAAGTCTCTGGCTCCCTTACAATTGCTTTAAGTCGAACTTCGGGCTCTGTCGCGATCCAATCACCGACGATTTTAAGGTTGTTATCGCGTCATGGGAACACTACATGGTGTACTCTTTCAAGAACAACTCTTGGAAGAAGAGGATCAAATACGAATGTGTCGAGTACTATCGGACACAGTATATCCCGGGTGTCTGCGTTGACGGGGCTAGCTATTGGCTTTGGCTAAGCCAGAATGCTACGATAATTATGTATTTTGATCCGAGAGATGACAAGTTCAAGATCTTGCAGAAGACGGAGAGTGTTGTTGTGGAGGGAAACGAACCGGTTTTCGTGGCTGAATTGAGAGGTCGTTTGTGCGTTTATTGCAATAACGGCAGAGACAAGGAAACGATTCTTATTTGGACAAAGGGAAAGGGCATTGACAACAATTCTTGGAACAAGTTGATGAATGTTGAGAATGTGACGATGCCGATTTTGTGGTTTGAGCTGAAATGTTTCATCGGAAATAAGATTGTGATTCGGAATGCGAAAGACGATAGGCTAGTGGTCTACAACCCTTATGAGAAGAAGTTTGAACAATTTGAAGACAAAGAGGTTGGTGAGTATGGATTGGTTCCATATGTGGAGAGTGTGTTTTTCCCCACTCAAAACACCAAGCTCAAGAGGAAGCGAAAGGATTTATAAATACATATTTAGGCTCAATTTACATTTCTGAATGAATAAACAATCAGTATGTCATGGTCTATGTTTTTTCTTATTGATATGTTTCTAAATTGTTATTATTATTTTTATTTATTTTTTGTGTATTTTGATTTCGGGTATGGTAATAGTGTTTTTCATGGTTATTAAAATGGTACGATTTATGATTCAATTGTACGATTCGATTCGATTTGAACCATTTTCGATTTATGATTCAATTTGTATCGATTCATACAATTTTTTGAATTTATATATATATTTTGAAAATAAAACAAAAAATTATGCTAAAATATAATTGAAAAAAAAAAATCTTTGGTTATTTTTTCTTCATCCTTAATGTTTCTTTGAGTTATCAATTACTACCCATAAACAATGGCGACCAGGGATCGGCGGATGTTACTTTTACACTCCGTCGACATCTTATGAGAAATCAAACTCTTAGTTTCCCTCAGGATAGCTGGAGTTCGATTGCGAGTTCTATCAGGTAAAGCCAATGATTAGAGGCATCGAGGGCGCAACGCCCTCAACCCATTCTTAAAACTTTAATTAGGTAGGACGGTGGGGCTGCTTTGTTGAGCCGCACCATGGAATCGGGACCTCCAAGTGGACCATTTTTTGTATGCAAAACTGGCGATGCGGGATGAACCGGAAGCCGGGTTACGATGCCCAACTGCACGCTAACCTAGATCCTACAAAGGGTATTGGTCGATTAAGACAGCAGGACGGTGGTCATGAAAGTCGAAATCCGATAAGGTCCCATGTCTTCATTTTCATGTTTTTGTTTATGTTATTACATGAATATATACTCGCCTTTAGGGTTTTCATGTACGCTCATCATATGAGGGTTTACAAATGAGGAATTTCACAGTTGGAATATTACCGTGATTAAATAAATAAATATATTAATGAATATCTTGCTAGTAGATCTTACAGATGGATAGATTAATTCCAACTTCCAAGCACAGTATTTATTTGATATTTCCTCCATCGCCTGAATGCATTTCGTTCCATATTGATATCCGCATGTTTGTTGTCAAGTTCTGTAAGATACACATCAAACATTTTACCGTTTTCTTGTTCAGATTATTTCGAAAACAATAGGTTTGGAAGATAGAATTGAAATCGTATATCAGGGCTTTCTTCATTCATGCTTTCAACCAAAGTAATATGATCTGTTAGGTTGATTCAAGTTAATATATACTAAACACGTTAGTTAGTCTTCACCACCGGATCCGTGGCGCAATGGTAGCGCGTCTGACTCCAGATCAGAAGGTTGCGTGTTCGATTCACGTCGGGTTCAAATTCCCCGATCCATTACGGTCCATTTTTTGATTTTCTTTTTCATATATTTACAATATTTTATTGGGGGTAAACAGCATAAAATCCATGTGTTAATGAAAACCTGCACCTAATTATTATTATTATTATTATTATGATCTTGGCATTTTGCTAATCTCTTTTTTGGTTGACGGCGAATAGTTTGACTAGTTGGTAATCAGATGGACGTGTTATCAAAATTTTTACTTGTTTATTTAATTTATTTATTTAGGAATTGTTAGTCCAAAAGTAATTAAGTTTTTTTTGAATAAAAACAAAAGTATCACTTTATTCAAGCTTAATTCATTAAATTAGAAGTTCAAAGAAAATTAAATTAAAATAAAATTTATTCCAGTTTAACTTGAATATAACTAGCAAATTATATAGCACGAACACGGGGTTTAGGAATTACAACAAAATTATGATTTATATAATAATAAATATTATTGAAATGTCAACATCAATTTATGGGAGGGGGTTTTATGCAAACAAATACGACAGTGGGGTCTGGAGCATATATTTTTAAGGGGCCTTAGGATATAGATCCCTAGTGACAAAATTTTTATTAGAACTAAATGACAAGTTCAACTAAATCTTTGCTTCACATCCTTTATAAAATTCATTCCAAAAATACCCCTCTACTCATAAATTCGAAATATGCATTAAGTAAATTCCAAACTGTATTTATCATTTTATTTATTATGTATTTAATATTTTAAATTTCCATATGAACATTTTTTTACATATCTTCCTTTTTTCTTTCTTCATTTTATTATTTTATACATTATTATAAAAGTTTATTTTTTTCTTCTTTTTCTTCGGCGTCATATTGAAAATTACCAAAAAAAAAAAAGCATTATATTTTTTTTTCAATTTACATATTTTTCAATTTGTCTGTAGTAGACTACAGTATACTACTGTATACTATAGTATACTTGGGTGTAGTATACTACGGTGTACTATAGTATACTACAGTATACTATGCTTTACGACGAAACCCTAGCCGCCAACAATTTTCAGCAGCCGCGAACCCTAGCAGTTACCACTCGCAGCCGCCGCAACTGTATCCACCTACCGACTTTGAAAAACCCTAGATCCTCCATATGAACCCAAATCAAGCAATATCTCTTAAAGTATAAGAGAATTAGATGCGATTAATTAGTCAAAATATGCTTTCAATAACATCCCAACCATAACCACAAACCCGGCCCCCACCACACAACCCCATGTCGTCGTCTCCTCCACCGCGCCTCCACCCGCCGCCCCTGCCATCGCCGCCACCACGCCTCCTGCTGCCATCGCTGTCCCGGCCTCCACCGCGGCCCCTGCTCCTTCTCCCTCCGTCTCCGGCGCCGGCAACGGCCTTCATGCTGCTATTGGAGAGAAAGGAGAAAGAGAGAGAGAAGAGAGAGAGAAAGGGAGATAAGAAAAAACGCGTGAGAGAGAACGGTGAGAGAGAACGTGAGAGAGAGAAAACAAAAAAGAATAAATCTAAATTGAAGAAACGTGAATGTATAGATTATATAATTAGGGTATAAAGGTAAGATAGGGATAAAAAAATTAGGGATGTGGCTCATATATTATTTCAAACTAAGGATTTAATTAAAAGATTGGATTTGAATTTGCCATTTAGTTCCAATTAGGTTTCATTTGAGGGACTTATGGCATATTACCCCTATTTTTAAACACAAGGGGACATGATGAGAAAAAGGTTAGTTTGGTCTTTTCAGTCTAAAAAGCATATAAAAATCAATCCTACTCGCGCAACTGGCGTGTGGAGTGCACTTTCCTAATGGATTAGACGGAATGGTGATTTGGTGCAATAAAAAATAGAACACAAGGGCGTTTTTTGCAAAAAAGCAAATACAAGGGGATTTTGTGCAGGTTTTCATTAACACATGGGCTTCTATGTTGTTTACCCATTTTATTGGGGTTATATGATAAAACCCCCTTGGTCAATTTGTTAAAAATCACTATAAATTTATCATTAACTACTACACGAACTAGACGAAATCTACTGTAAATTTGTTGAAAACAACTATAAATTTATCGAAGACAAAATCTAACATTATGAAAATCACTATGCGTAAAACAACTATATAAACATAAAAACCACTTCGTATAAAACAACTATAAAAACATGAAAACCACTCTGTATACACAACTATATTAACATGAAAACAACTATGTATAAACAACTACATAAACATAAAAACCACTCTGTATACAACAATTATATAAACATAAAAAGCACTATGAATTCTAACAATAAAACATCAAATTTTAACGAAAAAAAGCTATAAAACCACTATAAATGACACCATCTTCTCTCAAATGAACCCTAGAGCATAGTTCGTGTAATCATCTTCTTCGCGTTATTCCACTGCGTTCTCAAAATGTGAGCCATAAAATAATATTAATATTCTCGTATAAATTACCAAAATATTGGAAACTGGATTCTTAAATGCATAAAATAATATAAAAAATCATTTTTTTTAAGTTTAGCCAAAATTCTATGAATATAGTTCAAGAACACGGATACAGAGAGTTGGTTCTTGAATCACCAAACAATATAATTGTTCATGGATACATATTTTTGTTCTAAACCCAAAAAACTTTCAAACAATTCACACAAAAAAAATATAACTATGATTTTTTTTCTCATTCCATTCAACAATAAGAAATCGATTTTTTCTTTAATTCACTATCCAATTTATCTGATTCACAAATCATCCACAACTTTATAATTTCACTTTTTATAATTTTGAGTAAACGAGTTATACTCAGAATCGAAGAACATAAGTATGATCTTCGTATGAACAGTGCATTAACAATTACCGAAAGCATTATCCAATTAAAAGTTGAAAGGCTCCAAAAAATTAAGTAAAATAAATGAACAAGAAACAATTAAAATTCTCCGTTTTTCATATTATCCATACATCTCGTTGATTCGTCGCTAAAAGAGGCCACCTCTTCCTCCGCCCGTTGGGAAGGTGGAGATCTGGCCCTAGATGATTTAGGAGCGGCGACGGCTGATGTGGTGGACGACGAGGGAGCACTTGGAGGCGGTGATGATGGGGGAGGCGGTGGAGCGGGATCTCTCACCCTCGGCGAAGAGGGCCGAGATTTGGGGGAAGAGATCGCAACTAACGTGGAGGAAGAGAGGGCGGCTACTGTTAAAAAGAAGAGAGATAGAAGAAATCTGACGAAAAATATATAATAAGAACGTGAGTTATAGAGTTAGGAGAAGGGTATAATAGTGAATTAAATTATTTATAATTAATTAAACAATATTTTGGATTCATCTTAAAAGTTGATTTTTTTTGAATCTCTCTCTTAATAGCAGAGTGTATATGGGTGGGATTTGTCAAATAATTCCTAATTACGATTTTCCCGCGTGTTTCTTCTACAACTGGGGCCAGCAATGGCTTCAACTTCAAGAAACTGTCTGGAATTCGATCCACCTGCCAGAATGAAATGATTCAAATAAAAAAAATTGGCATCCAAGTTGAAATAATATTTGGAAAAATATATGCAATAATTAAATTCATCAATAAATGCTTCGAATTCATCACTCATCTGCTCAAAGTTACTCCATAATCTATGGGAAAGAGATCCATGATAAGGGCACTTAATTAAAAAATGGACATTCAACTTTTTTATGTTTC